GCCTGCCTGCCTGCTGCCTGCCTGCCTGCCTGCCTGCCTGCCTGCCTGCCTGCCTGCTGCCTGCCTGCCTGCCTGCCTGCCTGCCTGCCTGCCTGCCTGCCTGCCTGCCTGCCTTTTGGGCTGCTGTGGGTGCCCCTGGCCTGGCTCTTTGCTGGCGGGAGTTGGGGTTTTCGCTGGCGGCTGGCCGGCTGGCGGGCTGGCTGGAAAGGGGGCGGGCGACGGCAGGTGGGCTCAGGCCAGCCAGCGAGCCACCTGTACGTTTGCTTGCTTGCGCCTCGCCTGCTGGCCCGCCTGCCTGCCGCTTGCGCCCTGCCTGCCTGACGGCCTGCCTGCCCGGCTGTCCCTGCGCCCAACCCCGTCGACGCGCCTTCTTTTCTTCGTCTGTCGCCTCGGCTGGGCCAGGGTTGGGGCTCGCCCGCGCTGGGCTGCCCTCCTAGGGCCAGAGCGGAGGTGCGTGCGTGGCAGGCCGGCCTGCGTGGCATTCAAGGTGGAGAAGCAACAGCCTCTGGCGGTCGCCCTGTGGCTCTTGTCGTGCGAGAGAAGCGAGAAAGGGCCATTTTCAGCCGGAGTCGAGGGTGAGCTTGGACCCAGCAAGGAAGATGTCGTAGCTCGCAGCCGACGACATCGACCTGCCTGCTTCGTGCCTCGATCCGCTTCAACCTGACCGCCACCGGAACCACCTCGGCCCACCGCCAGTCAAGATGAACATCAGGGAGGCTACCGTAAGTCGCCGCCGCGGACTGGCATTCCATCGACCGCTGGGCTGACGGGCAACCTCTGCTTCCCAACACCGCGGCACGTTACAGATCGACGACATGCTCGGGATGCAGAACTGCAACCTGCACAACCTCCCCGAAAACTACACGATGCGCTACTACCTCTACCACGCCCTCACCTGGCCGCAGCTCTCGTACGTCGCCGAGGACGAAAAGGGCCGCATCGTCGGCTACATCCTGGGAAAGATGGAAGAGGAGCCCCAAGACGGCGTGCCCCACGGACACGTCACCAGCATCAGCGTGCTCCGCTCCTACCGGAGGCTTGGCCTCGCCAACAAGCTCATGAAGCAGAGCCGTGAGTAGGCGGTGGTGGGCGCCGCTGGGACGCGCCCCGGCCCGGCCCGACAGAGCCACATTCCTGCACCCACGCGCGTGCTGACGATGATCCCCTCGCCCCCTCATGCCGGGATGACTTGCTCTGCCGCCGGACGCAGAGGAGGCGATGCGCGACGTGTTCGGTGCCAAGTACGTCTCGCTCCACGTCCGGCAGACGAACCGTGCGGCCATCGGCCTGTACCGCGACACGCTCGGGTTTGAAGTCAGCGACGTCGAAAAGGGCTACTACGCCGACGGAGAGGATGCGCTGGCGATGCGCCTCAACTTCTAGGCCGGATCAAGACGGACGGCAGGCTGGTCCCGGCATGCCGTTCAGCCCCGTACGTCTGCGGCGACGTCGTGGCCCGCAGGGCGGCCGGATCCGCTCCCCATCTTCTCCCCGAACACCTTTTGTACTTGTAATCGCAGCGCACTGTTGGCATAGAGACCTAGGCCTGACCTCTTGGCCATCTCGGCTTTGATCCGTTCGGAGAGTGGAAGAGCCGGCGTCGTTCCTCGGCAGCGGCCAAGGCCGTGGGGTTTCGACTGAGCCGATCAGGCGGCGGGGAGCGACGCGGCGGGCCACCCACGCAACCCCTGTAGCTTGACCTAATGCGGTGAGGGCGGGGCTCGAAGGGAGGGCAACCTTTCGCCGCATGGTGGCAGAGAGAGACAGAGAGGGAGAGAGAGGGAAAGGAAGAAGCGGGGCCGATTGAGCGGAGCAACCGATGGCCAACGGGTGCGGGGCAACGCGGGAGCGAGGGAACGAGGAGGGCCGCTGCTTCCTTTTTCGCGGCAAGGCAGGCACGGTCAGGCCTGGCCACAAGGTGGAGGTGATTCAAGGTGGGTGGCCTGCCCTGGCCAGGTCCGCATGGGCCCAACTAGAAAGAGGCCAGAGGAGACAGGAGAGAGAGCCAGGCGTAGGGTGGCAGCAGCACACACACTTCTGGTGCAGGCCCGTGTGACGCACGGCTGCCGGCGCAGAAGCACAGCCCAACGAACGGCCTGCTTTGTTGGCTTTGCCTCGCTGGCCTGTTCCTAGCCAGCCCCAACCACCATCACCCGCCATCGCCATTGCCATCGCCATTGCCATCGCCATTGCCATCGCCATTGCCATCGCCATTGCCATCGCCATTGCCATCACCACGTCCGCTGCGGTCTCGCTCCTCTCTCTTTCACAAACATCATCTCCCTGCACATCTTCTTGGCTTCGCCACGGCAGCATCGCCCCTCGGCTCTTGCCCGCCCGACTGTCTCGGCCGCTTCGAGATCTGAAAGCAAGGGCCAGCCCTAACATCGCTGTCCTCTGCTGCCGTTGTACCTCGGTCCCCGTCCGAAAGGGCTGGGCTAGCTGGCAGCTCCGGGCCGGAGACAGCGCCGCGACCTCCTCACGGCGGCGTCGGAGTCACCCGACACCCGCTGCACTACTACTGCCTGCCACTCTGCCAGTCCTTCGCCGAACGGGACGCAGGCTTCTCGCTCGCCCTGGATGCACCTTGATCCGCCTCGCCGATAGCTCCGGATGAGCGCTTCCCGACCTCCTACCGGGGTCGATGGCCTGGTCCAGAATGCCTCGGCCTCGTCCAGCTCCACTGTCAGGGACGCCTCTCGCCAGCACGTCCACTCGTTCCTCGAGATTGACGACGAGACAGCGGCCGAGGTGCTCTGCGCCGCCAGAGACCATCTGACCATGACCAGCGACTCGAGCCTGGCCAGACCGCCGCCCTTGGCCCCGCGCTACAATGCACTGCCCGCGCACTCTCCGCGAGGCCTGCACAGCCTGCCCGCATCCGGCCCGTCGACGCCGCCAGAGCTGCATCACAACGGCGTCCCAGGCCACCAATCTGACGGCGAGGTCGTCTCAAGAAGGCCCACTGGCTTCTTGCCGCCGCTCTTCCGCCTTACCTCGGACGACGTCGCCATCCCCGATCAGCCCATGGCAGACGACCGAGGTCAGGCGACGGATGGCCTGGGCCCGCCCCCGCCCCCGGGGCATGTGCCGATGGGCTGGTCAAGCTCGCAGACATCAAACGCCTCTAGCGACACCGGCACGTCCGCTCAAACCGCGGGCAGTGGCTACCAGGCCCTCGGCGGTCCACCGCAATTCGATCTGCGTCTCCAGCCACCGCCGCCCGGCTACCACACCCACGACTTCCCGCCCACGCCCCCGGCCATCGATTTCGCCGGGAACCAGCCCTCTCCCTTCAACGAGGCCTTCCAACGGCAGCTGCAGCTGCAAGATGCCTACTCTCCACCGCCTCCGCCGGATCATCCCCCGCCGCCCATTGACGCAGGGCCAGGAGGCGTCCCGGGAGGCGCGGCGGCAGGTGGTGGCGGCGGTCGCTTCCCGAGATGGCGGGGCTGGCTGGAGAAGAGAGCGTTGGAACGCCACTACGCGCGGATGGATGCAGCTGCGGGAGCCTCGACGTCGGTCGATGCCAACGGCAACCTCCTGGTCCAGCCGCCCATCAGGAAAAAGAGTTGGGGCACGGGCGTCAATGACCCGGACGCAGTTGAGGATGACCTCGATGTCGGCAGCAGCAGCAGTGACGACGAAGATGGCGAGGACGGTTGGAGCGTGAGTTTCTTTCTTGCTCCCCTACGGGTCGGTTGCGACGATGGCTGTTCTGACCGTATGCGGCCGATCTTCTCTTCTTGATTGCTGCCAAACCCTGCAGCCTGTGGATCCTGGCTCCTTGCCACCGCTCCACGTCCACCACTACGGCTCCAGATTCATCCCACACCTTCACTCGCAGCCGCTCTGCTCGGTCCTCCTCGAGCTGCCACCTGCGCCTCCTCTTCCCGGGGTCCGACGCTTTCGAGCTCGACCGAGGCAAGTGGTCCTGGTCGGCACAGCAGACGGCCTATTCCTCTTCCAAAAGCCAGTTCGCCCGCCCCGCGACAAGCACCAGCAAGCGCCGCGAGGTGCCCAGAGCTCGACGGGATCCTCATCGCAGGAGGCGGCGCACGCACGAATCGAGGAGGCCAAGTGCATCCACGTGAGTCGCAGACGTGGCGCGGCGTTGCGACGGAGGATGATGGCACGCTGGCTGACATCCTTTCATCTCACACCGCCACCCTCTTGGATTGACAGGTCTGGTCAGGCCTTGGCATCTATCAAATGTGCGTGCTCTCGTCCAACGAGCCGGTCTCTTCGCCCGGGCCGTTCGCTTCAGCGGCCCGGTCGGGGAGGGGCGCCTCTGGCATCTTGCTGGCCCTCACGGCACCGACGACGGCGGTCACGTCGTCATACCTGCCGAAGCCTCTGGTGCAGCTGAGCGCCCACGCAGGCACGGTCTTTGAGAGCGTGACGACGTCGGCTTCCGGCGGCCCCGGCAGCTCTTCGAATTCCAGCCACGGGCACGGCGCGAGCTTTCCCGACGGCACCGAAGGCATCGCGGCGGCCAACTTCGGGTGCGCTGCGGGCGGCGGACCAGGTCGAGCGGTTCCACCAGGCGGAACCGGATCGGTTCGGATGTGGAATCTCGAGGCGCTCAGAAAGGTGCTGCTGTACGCCCTCGACCACGAGGCGCCCAAGCTGCCTATGGACCTCGTCGGCGAGCGCACCGCGTCCAAGGAGAAGAAGAACACACTCGCAGCGATCCTCAAAAGGACCTTCGCCAAGGAAAAGTCCAAGGGCGACAGGCACGCAAAGAGTCCGGGCCACAGCCGAAGAGGGACCAGCGATGGCGTCGGTACCATCGACCCTCTGCCCTCTGACCTCGGAACGGCCGACAGCCGACGAAGCTCTCCCAGGCTGACTGCGAGGGCCCTCGACGACCCATCGGATCGATCCAGCTTCCGGCCGTCGTTGGATCTCGGACGCGAGACAAGCCGGGCGTCGTTCCAGAGCGACAGCTTTAGCGTGGAAAGTTTCGCCGCGTCGAGCACAAAGGACGACAGGGACGGTGCGAGCCTGCTCGCCAAGGATCCCGACCTCGCCACGGCGCTCGCGCTCGCGCTCAGCTCGGTGCCAATCAGCGCCCCGACGTCGAGCGCCTCTGCGCCCGGCCAGTCCGCTCAGGGCTCCTACACATCGCTCTTTGGGGCCGACGCGTACGGTCCAGCGGCCGCAAAGCATGCCTCAGGCAAGGGCAAGGACCGCGACCACTCGGCGTCAGCCACTGGTCGTGGCGTGTTGTTCTTCACCGTCCACGAGGCAGGTCCGGATACCAAGGGCAGCGGCACCTGGTACCTGGCGCTGGCGACGTCAAAGAGCGTGATGGTGTACGAGGCAGTGCCGGCGAAGCGGGGTGGAGGACGTTCTTGGGCCTGGATGAAGGAGCTGTACGCTCCCTTTGCGATCAAGGCCGTCGCGTTCGCCCCTGCGCTGGTGGCCGACAGTGCGCTGGCATCGGGATCGCCGACGTCGTCCGGCGGTGGAGCAGTCAGTGCGAGCATGAAGCTCAAGGTCTCGTCAGCCGACGCACCGCTCTCGGCCTCTCCAAAGGGGGCAGGCCACGGGGGTCACAACGCAAAGCGGCCGCTCAGCGGCTACTCGAGCATCCTCAAGCCTTACCACTCCCTAGCCAGCGCCGCCCCGAGCTCGTGGCACCGCGCTGACCTCTGTGTCATGGTCAGCTTCGGTCGCAGATCTGTCGTTATCCGGCTCAGCGATTCCAACGTGCGCGAGTTTGAGCTGATGCCCTTGGCGGATGTCGTCGCAGCCGCTCCAGGCAACGGATCCCTCGGGCAATCGCATCTGGCGCTGCTGCCTCAGGTCGCTGGCCCGACGGCGTCGCCTAGCAGCAAGGAGAAGGCACCCAGACCCCGCAGCATCATCTCGCTCGGCCTCGGACCGACAGCTTCCAACACTTCGTCGGCGGGCGCCACGAGGTCGAACGCGGGCCACGAGCGTCAGAGGGAGAACGGCACGCAGGACCTCAAGTCGAGCAGCAAGCACAATTGGGTCGGCTTCACTGCACTTCAAGCGCAGATCCGGGTTCGGCAGCACATTGTTGATGCCGAGCCGACGCACTCCCGCAGTCGCAGCTCGGTGCCACCGGGAGCCGAGTCGTTTGTGCGCAGTGGCGCGCCTCCTCGCCCTGCATCGTATGCGCAGCCGCTTGCCAGGCCGCTGCCCCAGGTTCCGGGCGCGCGCGAAGCGACGGCGGCGCAGCGCGAAAAGGAGCTGCCTCGTCCGCCGCCGCCGCAGTCGTTGTCGTTTGATCGCCGCGCCTCGAGACAGTACCTTGATGACGCGAGCCGGCGGGCATACGAGGCCGTTCAGGCCGAAAGCAGCAGCAGCGGAAGCGATGACGATTACGGTCCGTCCAGCGTTCCACCAGCACGGGGCTACTCGCTGCACGACACGGCGCCGAACAGACCCGGCGCAAGCGGTGGGGATGCCCAGGGCGCACGCGGCGGCCGCAGCAGCCGTCAGCCGCTCAGGCGAAGCAGCAGCACGCCCGACCTCACCGCGGGAACGAATCTCGTCTCGGTGCGGATGGCCCTGGTCTCGCGAGGCAGCATCACGCAGGTGCTGCCGCTGCCCTTGCCGGTCGATCTGGCACGGCCGCTTCCCTTGGCGGCCCTGCAGTGGTCGGACACGCCCAATTCGGTCTCGGGCTGGGCGCGGGTGCTGGGCGTCGAGCGGGCCCGATCGAGTGGACCGGTCTCGGTCGACCATCTGAGGAGCGGCGCAAGGACTGCCGGCAACGTTGGCGGGGGACTGTCGTCTTCCCGGCCCCAGCTCATCTCGCGCAACTCTTCTTCCAGCCTCAACAAGGGCAACGTGCTCGGCATCCACGTCGGCATCACCGCCGTGGCGTTCCTGCCGAGCCGGATCGAGATGAAGCGGGTCAGCTTCAAGACGGAGGCGGTGGTCAACTTTGACCTGCACCGAAACGCCGAGCTTGAGCTGGTGCCTTTGGTGCCCCTGTCAGACTATCAGAGGCCAGCGGGGCCGGCGATGTCCGCGCAGGCCGAGCAAGGCCACCCGCCCTCCATGCCTCGCGCAGGCCACACCCGGTCGAGGAACAGTATCTTCGGCTCCGACTCGGCGGCCGGGGGATGTTGGCAAGCGCCAGCGTCGAGATCGATGTCGCGGCCTGTGTCGACCGTCTCGACCTCGACGGCGCATTCGACGGCGGCAGATTCGAGCGTCGCGGGCTACGAGACGGCATGGGATGCGGCGACGGCCGAGGAGGATGCGGATGCGCGCGCCTGGTCCGACGTCGAGCTCGAATACCTCTGCGGCAACCTGCTGACCGTCAGCCCCATCGACCTCGACGCCAGCGCGGCAGGGTCCGAGGCTGCCGTCTTCCGGCTGTCCGGCCAAAACAGCGAAGGCACCACGAGCCCGGGCCAGGTGCTGAGGGAGTTGGCCGGCGATGGTGGCATCGTCGCGTACGACTGGAGGGGTGCCGAGGACTACCGGATCTTCTGCGTCGGCGCCCAGGGCTAGGCGACGACGATCATGCGGACGACCTCCCGTCGCTGTCTCGTCATTGTAGTGTCTAGCGGCGCCGACAGCGGAGGCGCCCGCCACACTTCGATGGACCTCAGTTTCGAGAACTTCTTAGGACCTAGTTTAGCATTCTCGCCACTGCTTCCCAAGCCACTTGGGTCGATCGCGCCGGTACTGGTGCCGTTCTACGCGTGCTTCTGCCCACGTCAACAGTCAGCACAGCTGCCACCCTGACCCGGACGGCGTTCGTGCGAGCCGCTACGACGCCCCATCGGCCAGAGCAGGCAGTGAAGAAGCGCGTGATGGAGCGACGCGTTGAGCGGGCAATATCACATTCCACGAAGCTTCTGCCGACATGATGGCAGGCTAGGAGACGCGCCGCTGCAGCCTCCTGTCGAGCCTCAACCCAACGCCTGCCTGTACCACTTGACGCACACCACTGCAGTCGCACCACGGTAGGACGCCAAGTCTGCTCTGCTCCAGCTCCTCTCCCGACAGTCTGACCAACCGGCGGCACCGACCTCGGGTACACCTTACTGCCGCCTTGCACGTCACACGTCGCGGGCGGACCTCCTCGGACAGCCGCAGCTCTGACATGTCTCTGAAGAACGACAAAGCGCGACTCCGACGTCCTCGTCCGTCACCCTTTCCAGGCGCCAAAGCCAAGCCGCACCGTCCAGCAACTAGACTTTCTCGGGTCCCTATTGTAGCTTGCGAGAAGCTCGCATGTTCCATTCCACCGGATCGAAGCCAGAGCTAAAACGCTGGGGAAGCGTCCATGGCGTGACAGCTGGCGGCGTGCGGGCTTGACGAGGAACCAGCCTCGACGCCGCCGTCGTCTCTTGCCCCCCGATAGACGAGCCCATCTAGGATGCCGGAGCGTTTGCACCTCTCCGGACCTACGTCGGCTGCCCGGCCCCTCCGCACTGCGCTGCGCTGCGCTGCACCTGCCCTGCTAACTGCCACTGCCATTGCCGGCAACACCACAGCGAGGAAGACCAGATGGCATCCTCGCACGGCAGTTCCACCGGTCTCCGCAGCCATGCAGGATGCGCCACGTCAAGCCACCTCGACGAGGTGTCAAGCAATTCCCTACCTGGCTTCTCCCTCCCTCCCTCTGACCCACGCTAACCACGCTCTTTTCCTGCCGCAATGCTTTGACACCTTACTTTCCCTGGATCAACATGGCGTCTTTCATGCTGGCCGCCTTTGACGTGATGTACAAGGCTCGCCTTGCATGACGCTGCCGCCCATCCTTGCTGTCCGGAGGCAAAGGCAAGGGCTTCCATGGACTTACGAGCGCCTACCCCACCGAGCACGTCCCCGCCTTCACGACATGGAAGCTAAGCTCACCTGCCCGACTTGCCTGCGCAGACGCAGCTGTCAACAGCGCAATCAAGGTTCGTCGAGACGTGGCCGTGGTATCACGCGGCGTCTGCTGCTACAGTGACAGTATCGTACCTCAGCGACGACCATAGACACCGCTCCGAGCGAATGAGTCGAGCAGCACAGCCTGCCATTATACCGTTATAAGGTCGACTGGCCCCGGTCGCGACCCGCCCTCCCCCGCTCCCTACACCATTGCCCCTCCAACCTCTCCACTCTCAATCCCGTTTCCTCCGTCTCGGCCCTTTCCCCTTCCCCCCTCCCCTTCCACTCCTTCCACTCCTTTTGCCAAGATGAAGCTCTCCCTCACTCCCGCCCTCGTCCTGGTCCTGCTCGGCTTGACCTCGCTCTCGGTCTCGGCCGCCCCGATCCGCCGCGACGTCGGCCAGAACACGCTGCAGGACGGTTCGGCCAACGCCCAGGGCGGATCGTCGACCTCGATCGCCAACAACGGCCAGGGCGGACAGTACAGCGACAACTCGGCGCAGGGCGGCGTCGTGAACCAGACGAGCGGCAGCGGCGTCACGACGTCGGACGACTTCGACGTGCCTCCCCCTCCTCCTCCCGCTCCGGCTCCCGTTGAGAAGCCCGAGGCGCCCAAGGAGGATGCGGAGAAGCACGACGAGTCCTGGAACGATGACGAGGACGAGGACGACAGGAAGCCCGAGCCGGCACCGGTCAAGCAGGAGAGCAAGCCCAAGCCCAAGCCGGCTCCCCGCCCTGCCCTCTCGCTGCCCAAGCCCGCTCCGAAGCCTGCCCCGAAGCCTGCTCCCGCCCCCTCCAAGTCGGCCCCCAAGAAGGACCCCGTCGGCGACACCCTCGGCGGCCTGACTTCGGGCATCATTGCGCCGTCGAAGCCCAACGCTGCCAAGGCGCCGCCCAAGAGCAGCGCCATCAGCGGCAACGCTCCGGGCTCCAAGCCCCTCACTTCCGGCCTCCTCAACGGCGAAAAGGCCAGCTCTGGCGCTGGCGGCCACAAGAGCGCCCTCGGCGTTACCAGCGGGCTCTAACGACCCTGTCCCCCCTTCCTCTTGCATCGAACCACGCTCGTTTCCTACCGTCTACCGTTCCCTCGCATGTCTGGCTGGCTGCTTCAACCGTTGTCGAACGTTTCCCGTGCTCTCGGACTACTTGCAGTCCTTGAAGATGCTGGCTCTCGGATTTCCCCTGTCGTGCTAATTTATCCACTCTCCCGACCATCTGCTCTCCGAGTCGAGCGCTTCTTGACCATGTGCTCACTACCCGCCGTCCCGTCCCGTCCCGTCTGCCCGTCCCGATGTTTGGCCTTTGCGGGCCGAAGCTGCATGGTTTCGGCGAATTTGCTTGCCGAGCTCGCCCGGGCCACGACGACGACGTGCCGTGGGAATCCTGGATCTTCGGGCAGTCTTGAGTCTGGCCGACGACGAGCAATCTGATGGTCGTCTTCTCACCACCACCACCGCCATCACAACCGCCACCATCTGTGCACCCCTTCTGCCAACGATGGCGTCTCGCTCTCTGTACAACGTCATGATCATCGGGGCCGGCGAGATCAACTTTGGTACGCTATTGGCCAGGTCGTGCCCGGCTCACCGATCCAGGCGCTGACCAGAGGGCTTATTCGCTCATCATCCTCGCAGGCTCGCCAGAGGGGCCTTGGAACCACACGCTGCGCCTCGAGCGCATTCTTGGAGACCGCCTCCGAGTCCTGGCTCTCATTGATCCAGACACTTCCCGGTGCGCCTCTCGCATCGACGAGAAAACCAGCTCGAGCCCCACGTCCTCCAGCTGGTCCGCCTGCCGTGCCTTTGCCAACATTGACGATGCCTCGACGGCTCTCGCCGGTCAGTCGATCGACCTCATCGTCGTAGGGTGCCCACCGCACTTCCGCGGCACCACGACGCCGGGCAAGGACACCGACGTGCTCGTCAGTCGCGCCTTCCCGCGTGCAGGGTCCATCCTTGTCGAGAAGCCCGTTGCCGCCGTCGATCCAAAGGGCGGAGAGTGCCATGCGGCCTTAAAGGAGATGCATGTCTGGTCTCAGGCTAACGGCGAGGCGCTGGGAGTAGGATACATGCTCCGATACAGCAAGGCCGTAGCTGCAATCCGGTGAGTGGAGCCTCGTGGACTGGCATGGCAGCACATCGACTCCTGGCTGACTGGTCAAGGCCTCTCGGCATGTCCTGGCATCCGCGCAGCGAGATACTGTCAGAGCACAAGCTGATTCCAACCTGTATCAATGCGAGGTACTTCATGGCCTACGGTGAGTACTCCCGATCGATACCCGCCCGCGATTGCCCTCTGCCAACCTGACAGTCTACCTGCCGGCACATCTCGGCCCTCGCACGCGCAGAGTTTGCTCGCAAGCTCTCGTGGTGGGACAAGTCGGCCTCTTGCGGCCCCGTCGTGGAGCAGGCTACGCACTTTGTCGATCTGGTCCGACACATTGCCGGCGTCTCCTCCAACCCGGCTCTCCTCGACACTGTCAGGGCCACGGCGGTCGAGCACAACGAGCCCGCTGGGGCGCTTTCCAAGCTCGGGTTCGACGAGAGTCTCATCGAGGAGCCAAAGAGGGTCCCCAGAGTCACGACTGCGTTCTGGAAGCATCAGCTCGGGACGATTGGCACCCTCTGCCATGGCATCACGCTTCATGGTGAGCCAATTGTGCCGAGGGAGAGCTGTGCATCACGTTTGGACTTGACTGATCGAGAGAGCTGACGAGTTTCATTGACCTCCTGCTTCGCCCGCAGGCACCACCTACGACACCGAGCTCGAAGTCCTGGCCGATGGCTGGGTGATGCGCCTGCGAGACGCCTATGGGCGCTCACCCTCGCTCTCGATCCGCAGGCCGGGCGCCGCGCAAGAAGGTGAGCCCCCCTTCGGATACTGCCACAGGAGAGCGCCCAGATACCACTCAGCTGCTGGCTAACGACAAAAGCCTTCCTCCACCGCCGACTCGGACCTTGCGACTTGCAGAGAAAGTCGTCTTCGAAGTGAGCAATTGACGGCGAAGCCGATGACCGCTTGGGGGGGTTGGAAGCTGACCGAAGATACCCGCTTCCGCGCCATCTGACAGGACGACGACCCGTTCTACACGCAGATGGCCACGTTTGTAGCGGCCAGCGAGTCGCGCGAGGCGCCCCGCCCGCTCAGCACGTACGAGGACGCGCTGGGCACCTACGAGCTTACCTGGCAGATCCGCCATGCCAGCGAGGAGCGCCTTGCACGCTAAACCGCCCCGCATGAGCGCCCGAACTGATCTGGGGCAACAGCATGCCGGTCGCGGCACGCCATGCTGCCGTAAAAAACCCATTTACGTCTTCGCCGGGCCCGGCGCACAAGACGCCCGGTTGGCGGGGTTGGGCATCTGTGCCTAGAACACGAACAAAGATTCGAATCCTACTGTACGTACCGCGAGTTGCCTAGACTCAGCCTCGAGCGCCGTTGGCTGTAACTACTGTATGTAGCAACACGCTTCGCGCCGCCTTTCTTTTCTGTCCCGAAGGGTGGGGCGTGCCGAGCTTGTGCAGTACATACTCTTTGTCACGGTGCTCTGCTCTACCGAGGACAACGACCTACGAATGCATTTACGGTTGCACGTTCTACTACTGTCGGCGCGGAAGTGGGGTCGTTCACGCCCCGGGTGGGGCGGAAGGCACTAGGGGCCGTAGCTTTCCCCCACCACGTTGCAAGGTCCTTGCTTGCCCCAGGACAACATGTGGGTAGTCCGACGTATGTATGTACATAGCTCGACAACGAACCAGGCGTCGTTCCCTCACATCGCTCTAGGGATGCTGCCCGGCCAGGCTATGCCGAGACGGCAGACGGCTTTGCACGCACAAGTGCGCGAGGATAAAAGGCAGGCTTGCGGGGCGCTATCCGCCATCGATCCACACATCAAGCCTTCCCTCGACTGCTCTCCAGGAATCAGCAGCAAAAAAGGATTCACCGACCCTCCTACACCGCCCTCAAGCACCCCACGCTCAGAACCCCTCTCTCGCCATCGACAAGCATGAAGGCAGCCGCTTCTTCCGTCTTCCTCGTGCTGGCCTTTGCAGCCAGTGGGAGCGCCTGGCTCTTTGCCTCGGCTCCAGTGGTCGACGATAACGGCAATACGTGGCAGTGGGGGTGCGAGATCAACAGGACCGATCGGGGCATCCTTCTGCAGTTCACCGCCGCCGGCTGCCAGCCCGCCGACGGGTACTGCCGATTCGGCCACGACGAGCTGCTCAAGTATTGCAACCAATTCCACGGAAAGTTCGTCGCGCTCCAAGCTGGCTCTTGAGCGCGGCGCGGCGCGGCCCGGACTCGATCCTCGTGAGTCGATAGGCGTTGGCAGGCACGGCACTGGATGGGTGGAGCGCCGCGTCGGTATTCATCGTCCTGACACCATGTATCATGCCTCCCACGCGGCCCCTCCGCTCGACTGCGTCTCTACACAGTGCATTGACCCTGAGTCGAGTCGCAGAGACGGGAACAGGAAGATGCACGACGGCAACGAAGGCCTGGGGTCGGTCCGAGGCCGTGTCGGAGCGGCAGTGGCGCGTTGCCAGGTACAGTCGTAGTAAACGATCAGTGCGGAGCAGGAGCCCGCTTGCAGATCAATTCCATAGCTGTTTTATGTCCACCCTCGTCGGCGAACCTGTAGCGACTGTGATGACAATCAGCTGTGGTGCGCCTGCAGGTAATCAGCCCACCTCGTCGCCTTCTACCGCAGCGGTAGGTGAACGCTGAATGGCGGATGTCCGGCAGATGTGGTGGGGTCCACCCACGACGCCCCGGACGCCCCGGACGCCCCGCGACGTCTTTGCTCTGCTCCCGGAATCGTTGCTTGCAAGAAACCCGTCTTGGGAAGGGAAAAGCAAGTAAAAGGAGCCTCCTCTATGTCTGGCGTCCTCGTCGGAACATTCACCAAGCACTCGCTCTTCCTCAACCTTCTCCTGCAACCTGATCTATCCGCCGTCGATTTGAAACCGCAAGCCTCTTAAGTGAGAGAAGCTCCTGAGCCGATGCTTGGAGTACACCGACACGTCGTCTTAACGAACGAACGAGATACGCGCTCGAAGCCTCATACAGCTGAGCCCACGGTAGCGTGCTTGATCGAGACTCTCAATGGCAGAGGCGGGTATCGTCGAGTCAACTAGACAGGCTCTGGGAGACGTTGTTTGGATACGGATGTGCGAGGCCGAGCAGAAGCTCAGTCGGATCGAGGCACCACCGCGTGCCCGACGCTGTGATGCGGCTTTGAGCCCACACCGCCGCTCTCTGTCGGCGTCGGAAAAGATCGTAACAGCGTGACAATCGGGGAGAGGTACTGTACATATGTATACTGGCCACCCACACCGTCAGCTACCCACACTACTGCCGGTCCCCACACTACCGAACCGTAATTGCAACAAGCTTGCCCGACATCTCCCGTAACAGTCAGCGTCTCATTTCCATGAGGGCCGTACCGCCCCCACGCAGTCACGAATTCTGACGAGGATGAGGGCATTGTGAGCCTGCGCGGGTGGAGTCGCGCTGTAGAGGGCGTGATGCCGAGCGTGTGGGTCCAAAAGGCTGTGGCTGTGACTCACTGGGGTCGATGAGCAACCACCGTCCGGTTCGGGCGACAGATGAAGTGGGTGACTAGTGACCACCCTTGCATCGTTGAACTGAGAGCGAGGGAAAACCGGCCGGGGCGGCCTGGCGGTCAAGATGCTGCTTCGGTCGCTGGCCTTGCCTCGATTGCACTCATAACTCCTTGGAGTATCCAAGCGCGTTCGGAAAAGCATAAAAGGGCGGCCTCTCAACCACTTCTCTCTCTCTCTCGACTCATCCCAACCCATCTCTTGCCACTCGCAGCCACAGATACCGCCGTCAATCGTCAGCCCCTTTCGACAAGGTGCCTTTTACATCCTCCGCCGTCTGACCGGCTGACATCCCAACCGACACCATCACGCATCCCTGTCCAGACGTTGCCCTCATTCCACAAGGAATAACGTACATCGCGATGCGCACTTTCGCCGCCCTTGTCCTCGCCGTCGCCGTTTGTGGCGTCAGCGCCCAGAGCGCCGACACCACCACCACGATCTGGCGGTCGAACCCAGATGACACCGGATTCTTTGGCCAATGCGCCATACAAAACGCTTTCTACAGGTATGGCGCCGCACAGGGCGACCCGTTCAAGTTCTTCATGGACAATTATGGCTGCCGCCCTGTGCTGTCGGATAATTACTACCAGCCCGGTTGCACATCCTACGGAGTCTTGCTTTTCGGAGCATGCCATGGTATTGGAGGCACGGGCTCTGTTTGGCAGTGCACGAACGCATGCAAGCCCGGCGTCCCGATGAGCCAGCAGAAGGACAAGCAATGCAAGTACAAGCTGCACGGCTGTGGGCCCGGGCACTTTTGAGGGATTGCTCGCCAAGCGCACGGGAAGTCACTTTGTCGACATGGCAGGACCTCGTCCGAACTCGTCGCCGAGGCACCTCTCTTTCTTCCTCCTTCAGCTCTATTCCCTCCTCTATCATCCCTTCTTCCTTCTCTGTCGCCCTGCTTTCCCTCGTACCCCCCAGCGAAGTCATCCACGCGCCGTAAATTGCTTCTCGTTCCCCGACTTCTCCGCTGTTCGGTGACCGTGCCTCGTCGCAAGGTCTTGCTTGTTCGGGCGCGCGTCCATGACTCCCCTCCTGTTCGCAGTTCCGCGGCGCTCGACCAGGGGGTCTCTGCGGCCAAGATTCGGGTCTACTAGCGACTCGGCCTGAGACCCGTGAAATATACGCTCCTCTTTCCCTCTTCTCTGGCCCTGTGCCTCCTATGCCTGTCGGCAGTGTGTGACTCCAAGACGCTGTGGAAAGCAGATGCAGGAAGAATTACCGGGAGAGACTGTTCTGAGGCTGATTGCAGCGTCTACTCCATGCTCGTGGCTCGAGGCTCGTTCTCGACGTCAACACTGGCGCTCTGCTCGTGCGCTCGTGCGTTCCACGCAACGCGCTCCAGCGTCCGTTGTATGCCTGAGTCGAAAGTTGCCTGCCACAAGTTACTACTTATGTTTACAACAATGTCGCAGAGGCTGGTAGGCAAGCGAAGGGCGGAATGATTTATGCTACGAAGGATGGGCGATTGGTCCGGATTCGGTCGGCGATGCGATTTATGGACTTGAACGTGGCCTATAGACGGTCGCCAGCGGGTAAAGGGCTGGTCCAACGAGGCCTTTTCGAGAATGCGGGGACAGGCAGCGTCTGAGGGAGTGGGGCGTTGGAGCAAAAGAGGGGACCGGCATAGGCGTCGGGTCCCGACTCGTTTGTTGCGATTTCGGCAGTGGCGTTGCGGTACTCTGCGGCGGCCGATGCCGCGTCGAGGTGGTAGGCTGGGAAAGGAGTGCGGACGAAAGCGTGCAGCGAATCTGGGCTGGAGGTGGCGGAGCTGCTGATGCTGGGACTGTAGATGCTGGATTGCGAGGAGCTCGAGTCGAGAGCGGGCGTGGACGGTGTCGAGCTGAGGGCTGGCGAGTCAGGGGCGTCTCGGCGGGCACACCATGCTTCGGCACCGCCGAAAGCGTGCAGGGAGAGCGGGGGAGAGAGGGTCGATGCGGTCGATGCGGTCGATGCGGTCGATCGCTCGGTCGACTTGACTTCGGCGCCAGAGACGACGCAGAGCGGTCCGTCCTTGAACGGATCGTACCAAGTGGGTAGGTCCGAGACGTTGTCGCAGGGTGGTGGACCGTCCGGCATGGTACTTTTGACCAGCTTCTGCGGCGAGTTCGGCAGGCAGCCGGCGCGGCAATCAAGCCGCCGGCGATCACCCTTACTGTGCAGAGAAACCTGCGGCCCCTCTTCCGTCATGTCGAAGCGCAGCGGTGGAGGCACATGAGCAAGCGATGGCAGCGGCGAGGTGGGTCGAAGCTGGTCGATTGTATCGATCGAGACTACGATGGGCTCCAGCGACGCCGGCTGATCCGCCTGCCTTTGCAGCATCTCTCGCTGCTGCCAGGTGAGACAGGCTTCGTTTTTCGGTGACGCGCCCTTGGATTGCAGATGATAACGGCTCTTGAGAGGCTGTAGCAGCCCTTTTTGCTGCCAGGTCAGAGCGTGGTGCTGGCCCGCCTCGGGCTGATCCGACGAGGCCAACTGCGTGCGAGTGGCTCGGACCGGAGCCGCGACAGGCGGCTTTTTTCCATGCATGGGCACAAAGGACGGCCTCGACGGCAGCTGGTGCTTGATGCGTGCAGGATCTGGCGGCGGGAACGTCATGCTCGGTGTGTTGGTCCGTCTTGAGCTGTGGCTTGTTCAGTGAAGGTCGGTGGAAGCTGCTGGCGATTTCGCGTGCGCTTCGCCTGTACGCCAGACGAAACGGACTGGATCGAGGGGGGGGGGGGGGAGACTGAGGATGGGAACTGGATGTTGAGCAGGGTCGGAGTCGGATGCTTGGGCGGCAGGGAACTTTGCTGTGCTGTCGAATGCGAACTGCAGACTCGGAGGAGAACCGGCGATGCCGGTGGGGAAGTGGTGCTGGATACGAACACGTCGACGCCGTCTGCGAGAGAAGAGGATGCCAAGTTGCTTTTAAAGGAGGATGAAAGAGAGATGATCGGAGAATGCTAGGACGAAGATGAGGAGGGGCAGATGGTGGCGCGGATGCAACGCACACGGGTCGTTACGTTGGTCTTGAGCATGGCCTGGGAGCAAGGACGAGGACGGTCTCTGGGCGAGCGGACATAGGACGAGGGGAAACAATGACGGAGGCTGTACCATGGTACAGGCTTGCTCGAGCGGGGCGGAGGACAGTGTCGGGCGAGGATTACGGCGCTGCGATCGCGCGCGGCCCCCTTCCTGAACCGTGAGAGGGGATCCAGTGCGGCTCGGCCGAACGGCGCTAGGTGGCCAGGGCGGGGGGACCTTGCGCTCAAACTGCCTGAGTTGGCCCTCGCTTGCTATTGCTCACGAGGACGGTCAGGATGAACCGTCTTGCCATCGTCGAGTGACGGATCTAGTCTGCTGCGCAGTGCGGTCAGAGAATGGGACAGCGGTGGCGGACAGAGGAGCAAGCAAGGAAGGGAGGCAGCGAAGAGGTGCGAACGCGGTGCTGCTCTCGAAGTAGTGGAAGGCGGACGAGGCTAAAGGGTCATGCAGGGTCCAAGATGTGTTGGTTGCGCTTCTACGCACGCAGTGAGGCGCCCGCCCGTCTCTCCGCTGAGGTGCGGGGCTGATGACCCGCTTCATTCGTCGTCGGGTCAGCCGGATGAAAACTACAGCACAGTAGCCTGGGTCTGGCAGCGAGCCGCCCGGATCTCGATTGGGCGAGGTCCGTTCGCAGGCCGCAGAGGCCAGGCCTGGCCTCGTTTGTGAGATGTCGCGTTGGAAGCGGCAGGGCCGGCGGCGCCGCGTGGCACCGAGAGAGAACGGAAGTCGGAGCCACGGCGACAGCGACAGCGACAGCGACGGCGACGGAAGGCTAGCCCCTTCGGATCCGCACAGCGTTGGATGGCCGCCGGACATGGCGGTGAGGGCGCCGCTGTCCAACTCGGCCACCTCGACAACAAGACGCCGGTCAAAGCGGCGAAATGGACGGTGGCCCATGCGGTCATGATGCTGCCTCGCTGACCCACCCACCCATCATCCGAAGCCGTGGATACGAGATCGAGTCCAGAGATTGCCGGGCCGCACGCGGCTCCCGGCCGCCTCGCCAAGAGCAAGGTGGCGGGGACCAGCTGGTGGCTTTTGCTCGTCTTCCATCTTGCCGCCGCTCCACCATCATTCTTTGTTCGACCTGCTCGTCCTCTGCCAGCCCCGTACTGCTTTTGCCTCCTCGACCCACGCAGACATCCCAACATGTCGATGACCATCGAAGACTGCGCCGCTGCTCGGCAGCCTCGGCCCTTTCCCGACACGCCTACCAACGTCCTGGAGCAGTTCAAGATGAAGGGCAAGGTCGTGGCCATCACTGGAGCCAGCGAAGGCATCGGGTTCGCCGCCGCAGAGGCAGTGGCCGAGGCGGGCGCCGACGTGGCGCTGTGGTACAACACCAACGACGTCGCCATCGCAAAGGCAGAGCAGCTGGCAAAGGCGCACGGCATCCGCGCAAAGGCCTACCGGTGCGAGGTCTCGAACCACGAGGCCGTCCGCAAGACCGTCGAGGCCGTCGTGGGCGACTTTGGCAGGCTCGACGTCTTTGTCGCCAACGCCGGCATGGCCATCTCGAAGCCGCTCCTCGAGACGTCCATCGACGAGTACCGCAAGCAGATGGAGGTCAACCTCGACGGCGTCGTCTACTGCGCAAAGTACGCCGGCGAGGTCTTCAAGAGGCAGGGCTCCGGCAACCTCATCATCACCTCGAGCATGTCGGCCCACATCGTCAATGTTCCCGTCGACCAGCCCGTGAGTTGCCGGTTCCACTTGCCCGCGAACCTCCCACACCCCCGCACTGTCCTACCTCAAGGCTCGCGCCTCTCGCTGACGCCTTTGCCCCCTCGCACTCTGCCTGACGACTGCCGCAGGTCTACAACTCGACAAAGGCCGCCGTCACGCATCTGGGCAAGTCGCTCGCCCGCGAGTGGCGCGAGTTTGCGCGGGTCAACATCGTCTCTCCTGGATTCTTCGACACCAAGATGGGCGCCTCGCCGCGCTGCCTCAACGAGGCCTACAGGATGTCGGCTCTTGGTCGACAGGGACATACTAAAGAGATCAAGGGCCTCTACCTCTACCTGGCCAGCGACGCGAGCTCGTACCAGACGGGCTCCGATACGCTCATTGACGGTGGATACACTCTGCCCTGAAGGCAGAAGCTCGATAGAGTAATCCCTGCGCAGAATTGCATCCGGTGTTTGACGTCAGTCCTGGCAGCGCGGCTACGTTCCGCACGATCTCGGTGGACTCACCCTAGCGTCGGCGCCTTACCAAGGACCCGGCTCGTTGGGAGGGGTGTAGGTGCCGCCGGCGCTGTTGCAGCAGTGTTCGAAGTCGTCGTACTGCAGGCTGCAGCTGCCGTTGGCCTGGCATTTGCATTTGGGACCTTGCATTGCGCTGTTCGCGGCCGCATCGCCGTCCTTGGTGTCGCAAAGGCACGTGTAATTGCCCCATTCGACCAGGTAACCGCTCGTGGACCACCTCTTGGCCTCGACGCCGACCACGAGGGCGAGCGTCAGGATGCCGGCGGCGAGTGAGACCTTCATGGCGCTTGCTCTGAGCGCGGGTCAGTGTGTCGTTGCGTTCGATCCGAGAGCCAGCAAGGTCGGCGTCGCGGTCAGCGGCAGCGGCAGCGGCGTTATCATCAGATGCTTGTGCATCGACTGGGTGGGCTCACAGGTTAGGTGGATGGTCTGCAGAAGTGGCGGCTTATTCGAGGTCGGTTCGATGAGGGTAGAGAAGGGGAAAGCTGCTTCGATGTGTTGGTGAGTGAGGCTGAGGAGCGATGACGGGTCAGCCTCGCCTTTTAAATTACAGGGGACCTTCCGGTGCGCTCTATGCACTCGTGGTGGAGCGTCTTGGGACGAGGGACAAGGTCAGACCAGCTGAGCCCCCGTATCCAGCCCACCGACTTTGCCAGCTCGCACGAACAGGCTCGGGAGCGCCGGAGACGCCGCGCCGGCAAGAAGGTGGGGGTACGAGGTAACTGCAGCTGTGTCAACGCCCCACGGGGTGCCGAGTTGCCGCAGCCCGCATTCGAATCAAGGCTACGGTCACCTATGCTTCATTCTTGTTGGACTCTACGCCTGCTCGGCGACGAAAGGCTACTGTTGTATGTCTGCCAGCGTTGCTCTTTTGCCGTAACGAGACTCGGCTGATACCGCCGGTCGCAGGCCTAGGATCGCAGCCGCACAACGTATGGCGCCGTACGACCGCATTTTCAACGAACAGTCAGGACAGCCTGCCTGAGACCTCATGATTCCGATCGACGGCAAGTGACTAGAGGCCAAAACGGGACAGTGTTTAGCTTGGTCTGGTGTTCTGCGCCTTGCGACAATGCACGATAAAGAACCAAAAAAGAAGCTCCCACCTTCAGGATCTTAGCTCACGCGCCGATGCAGAGAGGCGTACAAACAGCCGGTCGAGTCTGAATGCAGTATCGCAGGATCTCAGAAGCGCTCGTGTACGATTGGCGAGCCGTCTGCCCTCAGGAGAACGGACTGTCGAGACCAAGCGGGCGGAAGGCGATCACCGGCCTGACAGAATGGCTGGCACACGCAGTGGCGAAGATGGGAGAGAAGATGCTCCGCTCCATGGCTGGCCGGTTCGCAGGTCTTTGGAAGAGGATGTACCTGATGCCGACGGCAAACCTCGCCATCGAGGTGTGGGTCGTCCTTCGACCGGCCCGTACCATGCTCCCAACGCGCGCGGTGCCGCAACACTTGTTGACCCACACAACGGTTCCTGAGAACATTCTCGTCCGATCTGCCCACTTTGCTCAGTTCCTCTGTGAGGTCACCATGAAACCATTCGTCGCCGGGTCGAGGGGGATGAGGGAAGCAAAGGGATGCGTCGGAAGGTTGCCATGGCCACGCCGGTGCCTGTCGGTGCTGCGCGACTCGCTGAACCGAGCGTCCATGTGCGATACAGCTGCTGCCGCGACCGCCATACTTGCTCTTCAGACGGTGAAGTGAAGATTAGGCCGACAGACGTGTATATAAAGGGCAACTGAGCCTTCATCGTCCCTCTCCTGCTTCACCCACCCCTTCATCGACCAACAAGACTCAAACCTGCCGACTGCTGTCAACGCCGTGTCCCGCATACCCCGTGAGCCCTGGGATTCGTCCTCGCAGCGCTGCGCCATCGCTTGCACTCTTTCGCTTGCTAAAGTTCTGTTTCGCTTCTCTTCGCCTTCTCGACCGAATTGGTCTTCCGACGCCCGCGCAGAACGATCGCCATGAAGCTCGCTGTCCCCGTCGCTGTCCTCGCGCTGACCTCCATGGTCGGCGCCACACTTATCAGCTACCCTACGGGCACCATCACCTGGATAGCCAGGGGCAACAACGAGGCGCTTGGCCTTTGGACAGCCAAGTGCAAGACCGTTAATCCCACCCGTGCGGACATTCTCTTCCTCTACACGGACGCCTTATGCAACACGGGCACCTTCTTGTGCTCTGTGGACTCGCCCGAAACTTTCCAGAAGTTTTGCAGCCAGATCAGGGGCAGTTACACTCCTCCTTAACCATAGCAGGAGTCGAGGGTGTAGCATGTCCATTCGCTTCTCGCCTGCGTACTTCTGCCCCCCGCATTCCTAGGTCCTCTTTCGCTTTCGCGCGAATGGCATTCCTGCTTCATCGTGCGAGAGCTCAGTCGATCGGTCGGAGGCACAGTCTGGCAGTCCACTTCGGCGGCTCCCAAGCCGCGCATCGTTATGATCGCTAATAGCGACGAGAGGTTCCAAATCGTTCGGGACCGACGCTTAGACGATACCGAGCTTGCCGTTCAGCCGACAGTGCCCTTGACCTGGGTGCAGAACTTCTTGAGGTCATCGGCGCTGAGCGGGCAGCTTCCCGCATCGTCGCAGCCGCCCTGGACTTTGAACAGGAGCTGCGTGCCCCTCCTGGCGTTGGGGACGGTGCACTTTGCCTGCCCGTCCCTGCTCGTCCACACCTCGGCTTTGGCACCGACGAGGAGGACGAGCATGAGGAAGAGGGTCGGGGCGAAGAACTTCATGTCTGCGTTCCTTCTGACAGGGCGGTGGGGACGGTTGATGTTGTAGATTTTGGCTCGTCAGCAACGCGCAAGGGCAACGACGAGACGTGCACCCTTGCGGCGGACGAACCGGCTTGGTGCTCACCGATAGTCGTGAAGAGTATATTCCACAGTGTCCGGATGGTCAAGGAAGCGTGGAAGGCTATGGTTGAGTCTGAGTTGGGAGTGAGGTCGACAAGAGACGGCAGAGCGCTCCTCATATAACCCTATCACTAGGGTCCTCTAGCACGCTTTGCGACCACCTCTTCTGGTTCTAGCTACTACACGGCTCAAGCTCGTCAACGCCTTTTACGTCAAGGTTGTACGATACATCGGGACAGCGGCGCCGGCGTCACGCCACCATAACAGCACCGGCGCAGCGCTTGGCAGACGAGGTCCCCGCACGATCCGGCGCTATAGAGGGGAGAGAGGGGTGACCGCAGCAGGTCCAGGATGTTGGACGCTCGAGCAACGCCAAGCCGATCCCTCTGATCCGGTTGTTGGAGCGATTTGCAGGCGGCCACGCTGCATCGAAGACATGGTGCAGGGGAGGGGGCGCGAAAACGGAATACCGTGGTTATGAAACGGTCAGCTCGTCAGTTCACACATATTGTACGTACGTGCGTATCGACATGACTCGTGGCAGAGCGTATCATGTACATAGCTCTCAAGAGCTGCGTCTCTTTCACGCACCCACGCACCCTTCGGGACGGAGCGCAGCTAGCCATTGATGCGGCGGTAGGTGCCTCCGAGCCTGTTGCAGAACATCGCAACGGCATCACCATCCATCGGGCAGCTGCCCTGCAGGTCGCAGAGGGCGTTGAAAGCGAAGGCCTGCCTCGCCGCAAAGTTCAAGGGCGAAGTGGTGCACACCCCCCGCGTGCCGTCGAGGCCTTTGAGGCTGATCCACACCTCGGCCGTGGCGCCTGCGGCGAATACGAGCAGGGCGGTGAGGTGCAGAGAGGGCGGCTTCATGGCGAACGTGTTGCGGTCGTCGAAGGGGCGGTGTCGAGTTGTGCCGCTGATTTCGCGTCGATGAGGCGGGGGACGCAGGCGGTATGTACGTAGGCAGGGGGATCGATGTACGTGAAACGGAGTCGGGGTGGTTGGCACTCCCGAGGGCGTGCTTTTGACCTTTTCTTCGCACCTCGCCGGCGTCGAAGGAGCCTTCGGCCTCTCCGATTGAAGCGAACGTTGACCAGCGGGGCGTCGACGCCACGGCTTGCAATTGGAGTCACGAGGCGGTGGTGCATGCTTTCTTGCCCGCGCCTTGAGGGAAAAGGAACGTTAACGATGGGCGTCAATGAGCTTTCCAAACACTGTTTACTCGCTAGGCGGATTACTGCATCATCACAAGGGGTCCAGACGTGTATGGACATATGAGAACAGTCAGCTTGGCTAGCCGGCGTCACAAGGCGCCGTTGAGGACAGGCTTCGTTTCGCAGCGCGCCACGCGGTGCGACAAAACCCGTATCAAAGGGCGCGGGAACGGAGGGAGAATCTCCATCATCAGCTCGTTCGCCTATCGGGTCAGCCCCACGCCGATGAGGGCTAGATTGGCATTCCCGATGGAGATGCCGGTGGGGAGAAAAGACGGTGACGGTCCTCGCACACGAGCGGATCGGTCCCGCTCCTCAGGTTCCTCAGTGGGCAAATTTTGGGTTTTCATCATTCCCGCCCTCGCAGGCTCGTCTGTTGGCCGTTCACGGCATCATAATCTAACTGGCCCGCAGTCGCCGGTGGGCGGGCAGGTCCGACGAGGACAGGGTCGAGGTGCAGAAGACGTCGTCGGTCCACGTCTCCTAGAGGTTGGAGAGGACGGCCTGGGTGAATTCGTGGGTCTTGGACTTGCCACCCATGTCGGCGGTCCGGACCTTGCCGTCGAGGATGACCTTGTAGACGGACTCGGCGATCTGGTTGGCCTGGGTATCGAGGCCGAGGTGACGCAGCATCATGGTGGCGCTGAGGATCATGGCGGCCGGGTTGGCGGCGTTGGTGCCCATGATGTCCTTGGCGACGTGACGGCAGCCAGGCTCGTAGAGGGCGTACTCGCGGCCAATGTTGCAGCCGGGGACGGTACCAGGCCCGCCGACGAGGGCAGCGCCGATGTTGGAGACAATGTTGCCGTAGAGGTTGGGCATGACCATGACGTCGAACTGCTGGGGGCGCGAGACGAGCTGCATCGAGCTGTGGGTGGAGAGATGCGAGGGGTCGGGAGCGATGTGTCAGTCTGCTGCCGCTGCGATATCGGTGCTGCTCGTCCATTGACGATGCTGCGCTGCGACCACCTCGCCTCCGTCCCTTCCGGTAACGATCTGAAGCGCAGCGCGTGGAGGCGGCCACGATCTGGTCTGCCTTGCGTCGCTGATCCTGGTATCCCTTACTGGACGCCCAGGGCATCCATACGGAGCCTTGGCTGACATCATTCGACGTTGCGTCCACTCACGTGTTGTCGACAATCATGTCATTGCTCTCGATGCCGCTGCTCTTGTACTCCTCGGCGACCCTCCGGAAGGTGTTGAGGAAGAGGCCGTCGCCGAGCTTCATGATGTTGGCCTTGTGAACGCAGGTGACCTTCTTGCGGCCGTTCTTGAGGGCAAAGTCGAAGGCGAAGCGCGAGATGCGCTCGGCCTTTGCGCGGGTCGAGACCTTGAGCGACTCGACAACGCCGGGGTAGGACGAGTGCTCGAGGCCCGAGTACTCTCCCTCGGTGTTCTCGCGGATGATGGCGAAGTCGACGTCCTTGTGGCGAGTGGGGTATCCGGGGAGCGACTTGCAGACGACGAGCGAGGCGTAGATGTCGAGCTGCTGGCGCATGGCGACGTTCCACGAGTTGTGCGAGCCCGACTCGAGCGGCGTGAAGAGGATGCCCTTGAGGCCGACCTTGTTCCTCTTGAGCGACTCCATGGCCTCCTTGAAGAGGGCCTCGGAGCCGTGGGTCTCGCCGGAGACGTTGAACTGCTCCCACTCGACGGGGACGTTCATGGCCTCGAAGATCTCCTTGACCGAGTCGGTGATCTCGACACCGACACCATCACCGGGGATGAGGGTGACGGTGTAGACGCCTCCGTACTTGGTAGGACCCTGCATGAGTCGAGAGGTCGGCACGTCGGATCAGGAGGCGGGCGAAAGTCAGTACGCTAGGGGCAAGGCGGGAGGAGGCCAGCAAGCGCGAGGTGGTGCGTGGTCTCGCTGCGCAGTTGATCTGCGAGCCTCAGTGAGGCCCCTGAGCGACGCTCACCTTGGAGATCTTGGGGGTGCCGGCGGCGAGGGTGGTGGCCGGTCGGAGGATCTGGGAGGCGTTGGGGATGGCAATCGAGGGAGCGGTTGCCTGCCTGATGGCCGGAACGGCGGCGCGGGTGAGGGATCGAAGCGAGTTCATCGTGACGGGGGGATGTTGGAGGCGACGACCGGCGAGGGCGACGAGGAGGACGAGGAGATGAGGAAGAGGAGGAGGTGGTGGGACGAGGATGGTGAGGAAGAGCAGACCGGGTGAAGGTGGAGATGGGAGCAGCGAGGACCACCGAGCCGCCGCCGCCGCCGCCGCTGCCGCCATGGCTGCTGCTGCTGCTGGTGCTGCTGCTCGCCGTTCAGTCAGGGCCTGCCTCTTTGCTGGTGAGCGTCGGCCTTGGCTCGTCTGCCTGGCCTAGCCCAACCAGAACCCCTCCCTGCTGGCTGGCCCGCGTCGAGAAGAAAGCCAGCCAGCCAGCCAGCCAGGCCAATTTTTTTTTCTTTCCCTCGCTCAACCTCGCCGAGGATTTTTGAATGCGCCAGACGGGTTGAACAGAAAAGTGCGTCAGGGTCAGCGCCTGCTGCTGCTTCGGAGCTTGCGGCCGGAACCCTTGCTGGCCCGCTCGACCGCACAACAACAAGCAACAGCAGCGCGCGGCCCTCCATCATGAACCTCGCTCGCTCTGCGGGACGCGCTCCGCCTCGCCCGCCTCGCCACCCCACCTGAGCCGTCGTGCACCCGCTCATGTGCCACGCAACGCACATTGCAGCCGGCCAAACAGGCTAGCTAGGCCTCAGGCTAGAAGGCCAGGCAGCAAGCACCGTCGAGGGTCGGAGGGGACGGCTGGAGAGGAAGGCGGAAAAAGTTCGAAACCGTGCGCCAAGCGGCGCCGGCCATCCATCTCTTCAGGGTCTCGTCGCGAGAGAGGCCGGCGATGTCGACCGTCAAGCCTAGGCTCGTACAGTACTTAGAACCCTAACCGCCCTTGGCACCGCTCGTCGAGGATGGCTGTGGCCGGATTGCTCCGACGAGGCGCTCGATAGGCCCGATCGGCTTTGGTCGAGGGCCATCGATCCCGCCCGTCGACCTCCGTCGCATGGCCCAGGCCGTACGTGGCATGCTCGGCGCACCTCCCGGAGCTTTTCTTCCTGCCTGCTTGCTTGCTTGTCCTCCTGCCTCGCCCGCAGGCGCTTGCAGCAGCGGCAGGCCTAGGCAGGCAGCGGCAACAGCCGGCGCCGAAACCTCCGCGCCCCGTCGTCCGCAGATTGAGCTGGCATGGACTTCGGAGGGCGCGTCAACTCTTCGCGGCCTGGCCCTCCGGCCGGCCTTCCTCGATCTGGTTTCTGAGAAGGAAGTGACGGCGGGCAGTGCCTGGCGATCAGCGGCCGGCAGGTCACGCCGCGTACGGTTGGACCCCCGCGTCAGCTCAAGGTTGCATTCAATTTTTTCTTTCCCCCTCCTCCCTCTCTTTCGCCGTTGCACTCCAGGGAAAAGTGTGCTCCAGGAAGGGCCCGCCTGGCTGGGCCCAGCCATGGCAGGCTGGCTTTCGGCTGGCTGGCCGAGGCCGCCTGCTGCTGCTGCCGCTGCTGCTGTCGCCTGCGCCGCCGCTGTGATGGAGGCTGGTGTCGCCGCTGCCGCCGCCATCGTCGACCGAGGATCCTCTTCTTCTCCTTCTCCACCTCACCTCCTCCTCCTTCCTCGTCCTCACCCGCCTCGTCCTTGCTCCCTGTCCTCCGCCACACCAGGCAACAGCACCGCCGTCATCATGTTCTCCGCTCCCGCCTTCCGCATGGCTAGCGCCTCGATGTGCAAGCGACCCAGCGTCGCTACTTCGTCGCTCGCCAAGTCGACCTCGTTCATGACCACCCGCGGCCTCGCCATGCCCGTCACGAACGCACCCACCTCGGCCTACGCCAAGGAGAAGGGCCCCGACGGCAACTACACCGTCACCCTCATCCCCGGCGACGGCATCGGACCCGAGGTCTCCAACGCCGTCAAGGAGATCTACAAGGCCGCAAAGGTCCCCATCAAGTGGGAGGAGGTCTCGGTCGCCCCCTTCATCAAGAACGGCAAGCAGACCATCCCCGAGGAGTCGATCGTCTCGATCAAGAAGAACACTGTCGCCCTCAAGGGTAGGTACTCGCCGATCCGGCGTCGGCGTAGTGGAGGCGCTCGCCTGGCACGGCTGTCAGGCTGCCGCCCACCGATCGCTTCGACGAGGGTCACTTCAGGCTGTCGACTGCGAATCGAGTGGCCGTCTGGCACAGGAGGCTCTGGGCAGCCGCCATCGCTGTCGCCAACCCTGCCAGCGCAACTCAGTCCTGTTACGTGCTGCCGCTCATCGCAGGACAACGGTGGCTGACAGGGAAACCCCATTACCCTCCTCGTCCCTCTTCCTTTGCTCGCCCGTCGCCCCGCCATCGCCTGCAGGTCCCCTCGCCACCCCCATCGGAAAGGGACACGTCTCGCTCAACCTGACCCTCCGCCGCACCTTCCACCTCTTCGCCAACGTCCGACCTTGCAAGTCGATCGAGGGCTACAAGACGGCCTACGACAACGTCGACACTGTTCTCATCCGTGAGAACACCGAGGGAGAGTACTCGGGCATCGAGCACGAGGTCGTCGACGGCGTCGTCCAGTCGATCAAGCTCATCACCTACGAGGCTTCCGAGCGTGTCGCCCGCTACGCCTTCCACCACGCCCAGCAGAACGGCAGGAACAAGGTCACCGCCGTCCACAAGGCCCCCATCATGTGAGTGCCCATCGCCTCCCTTCCTAGATGACGTCCATCGTGATGCTTCCCGAGTATGGAGGTGGACCAGGTCAGCTGACTGATTGCCCTCGCCTGGCCCGCCGTTTCGCGCCGTTGTTTGGCAACGCAGGAGGATGTCGGACGGCATGTTCCTCCACGCCTGCCGACAGGTCGCCAAGGAGTACCCCGACATTGCCTACGACGAGGATCTGCTCGACCGCGCCTGCCTCCGCATCGTCCAGGACCCGGCGCCGTACGCCGACCGCGTCATGGTCATGCCCAACCTGTACGGCGACATTCTCTCGGACATGTGCGCCGGCCTGATTGGCGGTCTCGGCCTGACGCCCTCGGGCAACATTGGCAAAGACGCCTCGATCTTTGAGGCCGTCCACGGCTCCGCGCCCGACATTGCCGGCCAGGACAAGGCCAACCCCACTGCGCTGCTGCTCAGCTCCATCATGATGCTGAGGCACATGTCGCTCTTTGACAAGGCCACGCAGATTGAGAACGCCGTCTTCAAGACGATCGCCTCGGGCGACAGGACGGGAGACCTCGGCGGCAAGCTCGGCACCAAGGCGTTCACCGAGAGCATCATCTCGCGCCTCTGAGCGAGAGGAGCCCCGAGGCTCCCGAGTGAGGACGGCGAGATTGGAGCCCGGACCGAGGGAGGAAAAGAAAAACGGGGTCGTTCCGTAGTCGGCGGTCGCACCAGCAGACTGGATCGACTCGTGTGCGGCCAATGGCACCCCGGGCCTGCTATGATTCCATCTGTCCATAGAGAAGGTCGAATAGGATTGACTTCATACCTCTGGCGGTGCCTTTGCTTTGGCTTGCCTGACTCTTCTGACGGTTTGGCCGGGATGCGTTTGAGAGCGACAACGGCCTTCTGCTGTGGTCCGTTGCCAGGCCTGAGCCATCAGCGTCGGCCGGCCCAGTTGGCGCGCTAATCGATACGCAGGACGGCAGCTCAGCATCCTGCTTGGCGCGGGACACGGCATTGGCAGCCGGCTTGCAAGGGCGGGGCGGCGAAAGGCCAAAAGGAGGGCGGAATTCGGACAAATAGCCGGCCATATTTGACGGTCGTGAGGTGCGGGCGGGGCCACGCTCCAGCCAGGTCGACTACTGCTTGCCTCTGCTCGTGGCTCTGCTCGGTTGCCTTCTGCCCATCATCGCCGCCACACCGCTCTCACCCGCTCGTCACTCGCCCCTCGCTGCCAGACGCTCAAAGATGGGCCAGTCCACAAGCAAGGCAATCCCATCGGATGCGGCCGCCGTCGAGATTCCTTCGCGCGGAAGCATCCGAGGCGTGCTTCTGACCGACGCGGCCACGGCCAAGCCCAAGACGCAGCGGTTCAGCGGCATACCCTATGCACAGCCACCCGTCGGTCCGCTCCGATGGCGTCGGCCGCAGCCGCTCAGCCCCGACTTCAGCTTCGATGACGGCGGCCGACGCTACCACGAGCCAGGCAACGTCTGCCCGCAACCCCTCACCTACTTTGCCAATACCGGCTTCGAGATCCCTCCCCAGCCGCTGGCCTACAACAAGAGCGAGGACTGCCTCCAGCTCACCATCTGGGTGCCCGTAGATGAGCACGGCCAGAGGAAGCCACCGTCGGCGGGTAAGCAGGGCCTGCCCGTCCTCTTCTTCATCCACGGAGGCTGGCTGCAGATTGGCAACCCCAACCTCGACGTCAACAAGGACCCCTCGGACCTCATCGCCTCGGCCGGCCTCGACTGCATCGTCGTATCTCCGGGCTACCGCCTCAACGCCTTTGGCTTCCTCGCCCACAACGCGCTGCGAGACGAAGACGAGAGCGGCCTGACGGGCAACTACGGCTTCTGGGACCAGAGGCTGGCGCTCGAGTGGGTGCGCGACAACATCGCCCACTTTGGCGGCGACCCCGGCAACATCGCCATCGGTGGCATCTCTGCGGGCGCCCACAGCTCCCATTCCCAGCTTCTGCACGAGTTCGACCTCTGCCGGGCGGATCCGTCGTACAGGCCCATCATCAAGCGCGTCTTCTTGCAGTCCAACGCGGTCGCCTGGCCTCCCAAGCGCGTCGAAGAGACGGCAGAGCAGTTTGAAGAGCTGTGCGCCGCCCTCGATATCCCAATCAGCCTCGCCGACGGGGACAAGATCGAGCGGCTGAGGAAGGTCGGCGACGTTGAGCTGGCCGAAGTGGTCACCAAGCTCGACATGCATACGTTCCGCGCCGTCCGCGATGACCGGCCCGGCGCCTTTGTTCGCTCGAGCTGGACCTCGTCCATGGCCGACGGGAGCTTCGGACGGTGGTGCGAGGAGCAGAGCATCACTGTGCTGGCGGGCGAAGTCGACAAGGAGGAAAAGGTCTACGAGGTCGTCAACAGCCCGCACGACCTCGACTCGTTCGTCCTGCAGCTCACCAACTACTACCCGGAGGCGTTGGTGCAGGCCATTCTGCCGCTGTATGGTCTGCCGCAGACAAAGAAGATGCCACCGCTCGGGGCATCTGCCCTTCCGACATCAGCAGGGCAGCACGAGGCGGTGTCTGATTCTGACAGGGCAGCGTCCACCGAAGGCGGCGAGCTCGAGGATCTCTACACCATCTTTGGCGTCAGCCGCACGGCTTCAAAGGCCGAGATCCGGGCGGCGTACCTCGGCCTGGTCAGGCAGCACCATCCAGACAAGGCACAGCAGAGCGACAGCTCGCTCCTCGCACCGGACACTTCGTCGAGCGCGCTAATTCGACAGCTCAACACGGCCTACTCGATCCTGAGCGACGACCTGACCCGCCAGGCCTACGATCGGGCGCTGGAGGCGCAGATCTCCCAGGCCGAAGCGGCCAAGCAGCAGCGCGACGGGAAAGGCCAAGTGCGCGTATCTGACACCTTGGATCTCGACTCGTTCCAGGCAATGAGGCTCGGAGGCGAGGGCAGCGACGACAGCGACAGCGACAGCGAGGATGACGAGAGAGGGGAGGAGGTGACGTTCGTGCACCCGTGTCGGTGCGGACACGACTACCGCATCAGCGGCACGCAAATCTCGCAAGGCGTCGAGCTGGTGGCGTGCAACGGGTGCTCCGAGGTGGTCCGCGTAACGTGGTTTGACCACGACGATCCGGCAACCGCCGCCGCCGCCGCCGCTGTGGCCTCGGCGTCGGACAAGCAAAAGCAAGCGGTACCGACGACGGCTCGGGAGTGGGCGCAGCTCTTCGGGCAGGTGTCTGCCGACAGCCAGGTATACCTGACGTCTCGCACGCTCATCGAGGACCTTGTCAAGGGGGGAATGGCACCGCACGCCATCCTTCGATACCGGTGCGACTTCCGCGCCCCCATCTTCGACACGTTCGCGCCGGCCTCGATGGGCGTGTCGCACTCGTTTGACGACCTGGTGTGGTGGTACGCCCTCTGCACGGGCGGCTGGACCGAGCAGCAACTCAAGCGGCTGCGAAAGTGGCTCGACCCCTACATCCGTTTCCTCCACGGTCCTCCTGCCGGGACAGACGTGAGGGAGTGGAGAGAGGATATGGCCGTAGCGTGGTACGGACCCGAGTACGACGTCGATACCACCACAGAGGCCTCGTGGATCCGCACCCTCAAGGCCGACGCTACCATCCAGGTCGAAAAGACTGACCAGAGGGGCGACGACAAGCGCTCCTTGATCCGGGCGATGCGCGAGATCAGGGAAAAGGTAGCGGCCACATAGGCACGGCACCACAGACGACGGCGGCGGCGGCGGCGGTGGAGGGCGCCGCGGGGCATGGGAATCCACTACTGGTCGATGCGAAAACACGGCACGAGCATCAGGAGTACAGAGAGTATGATTGAGGGCGTGCGACTCGAAGGTGACGCTTTTTGTGGGGCGGGGAGTCCCTCGTCGGGTCTCCACCGATGTCCCGCAGGCTCGTTGCTAGGCTGGCATCGGCGGCAGACCGAGCCGAGGCGGCACCCCGAGGTATGCCATGCTTTTTCCTACCCTACGCTACCCTACCCTACCCTTCAGAGGTCCTGCTCGGCCTCCTCGTCGATCCGGTCCTCGTCCTCGTCGTCCTCCTCGCCAAAGTTGGCGGGCACCGAGTAGAGGCGGACGGTGGGCTTGTTGGGGTCCTTGAGCAGGACGTACTTGCCCTCGGGCGCCTTGCGGGCGAGGTCGGCAATGGTGCGCACAATGCCCCAGCCGTTGGAGAGGTTGAGAGCCATCTGGCCCGCCAGCTCGCGCGGCTTGTACCACGACGTGCCGAGGATGACGTGCCTCGAGGCGTCGCGCGGGTTGGCGCGCGAGATGTAGCCCAACTTCATGTTGTCGGCGCCCGCCAGCAGGCTCTGGACGGCGAAGCGCGCCAGCTTGAACGAGTTGTTCTTCATCTCGGTGGCCACGACGGCGCCGCGCTGGGCGTCGAGCTTGGTGCGCCAGTCGGGCGCGCCGCCGGCGCCCTGCGCCCGCGAGTCAAACTCGTTGAGCGACTTGATGGTGATGTACTGCTGCTTGGCACCGGCGCCGGCGGGCAGGATGGCGTCGACCTCGGTCCGCACCACGAGCTCGACGGGGTCCTCCTCGTCGGAGCTCAGGTTGAACTTGCGGTACCGGTAGCCGCAGCTGGCCAGCGGCTCGCTCTCGTCGGCGCTGTAGAAGGGGTTGGCGTTGTCGAGCTGGTGCGCCTTCTTCTCGTTGACCACCTGGAAGCCAAAGTTCTGGTTGACGTAGGTGGCCTCGAGGCTGAGGGCCGCGGGCGTGTTGAGCTGGCTCGTCCGCGCCGCGGCGTCGCCGTCCTTGGTGTCGATCTCCATCGGCGGGTCGGCCGCGTTCTCGTTGACGGTGAGGAAGTCAAACGGACCGCCGTCGCGCTTGTCGAAAAAGACCTTGCCGTCGGCGGTGCGCGTGATGATGATGTCCCACGGGTACACGGAGCGGGTGGAGCACATGAGGAGGGCGAGGATCGAGTCGGTCATGAAGAGCTGGGCATCGCTCTTGGCGACAAGCTCCTGGATGACGGGGTCGTCGGACGTCGTCGGGCTGTACCGGATGCGGTCGAGCGACTGGAGCGGCTTCTCGGCCTTTGTGCTGACGCGGTCGTAGGCGCGGTCGTACTCGTAGAGGGTGCCGTAGGTCGAAATGTCCTCGGCCTCCTCGACCTCGAGCTTGAGCTTGCCCAGCCTGGCAAAGTCAATCTCCTCGAGCTGCTCCCAGTCCTGGCCCACGGTGACCGAGGCCTCGCGGGTGCGCTGCGGCTTGTCCCAGTCCTTCCAGCCGAACCTTCGCCCGCCCCGGGTGGAAGCGGCACCTCCACGACCCCGCGCGCCGCGGGCCGACGCACCGCCACGGGCGGCGCCACCACGGCCGCCG